TTACATTTAATGTTAATGGAGTACGTAACCCTATTAAGAGAAGTAAGATTTTGTCTAAAATATAGAAAAAAGGGGCTCATATTGCTTTTTTACAAGAAACACATTTGAGTGTATTGGAACATGAGAAATTAAGGAGAATGGGTTTCTCAAAAATCTATTTCTCCTCATATAAATCTGGCCATAGGAGAGGAGTGGCTATACTGATATCTCAAAAGGTTCAATTTGAGTTGCTTACAGAAGTTAAAGATAAGGAGGGGTGATATGTATTAGTATTGGGAAAAATTGAAGGGGAATTCCTAACATTACTTAATGTATATGCTCCACCTGGTAGTGATTTTAATTTGATAAAAAAAATGGTTGATTTGATGGTTAATGCACAAGGGATACTGATTTGTGGAGGAGATTGGAATGTACGTCTTAACCCCAGGCTTGATTCTACAAATATATCTTCTCAGAGAGATAAGTCACTGTATAAAAAGATTAATGTACTGATGGGGGAAATGGGAATAATAGATCTTTGGAGAGATTTCTATCCAAGTAGGTGGGATTACACTCACTATTTCTTTCCTCATTTGGTATATTCAAGGATTGATTATTTTTTTATACACGAGAGATAGACATAGGAACCAAGACTGTGATATTGGTAGAATTGATTTTTCAGACCATGCTACTATGTCATTGTCCATACGATTAAGTAATAATCGGGGAAATACATCATGGAGGATGAACTCAAGTCTGTTGAACGATCCACAATGTAACAAACAGATAAAACAAGAAATAAAACTATTTTTGGAGGAGAATGATAATGGGGAAGTGAGACCAGAGATGATATGGGATACATTAAAGGCAGTTATAAGGGGGAAAATTATTGCTCTGAGCAGTCATAAGAAGAAGGTAAAGCAACTACAATTATCTAATCTGAATATAAAGTTAAAAGAATTGGAGGAAAAACATCAAGAAAAACAGGATTCAAAAATTATGCAAGAAATAAAGAAGCTTAGAAACAAAATAGATGGCTTATATACACAGGAAATTGAATATATATATATATTTACTAGACAAAAATATTATGAAATAGGGTCAAAATCAATAAAGCTGTTGGCAAGAAAATTAAAAAAACAACAGACCGATAATTCAATATATAAAATAAGGGACCAGAACTGTAATGGTGTATTACATAAATGGAAAGAAATTCAAAACACTTTTACAAATTTTTACAGAAAATTATATACACAACCCCATTCAGAAAGTGAAGAAAAGATGGATATTTTTCTGGAATCTCTCAGTTTACCAACTCTTACGGAAGATCAAAATAATATTAAAAACGACTATAACACTAGAAGAACTGAATTCAGTGATTACGAGCCTCAGAGCTAATAAATCACCTGGAACTGATGGCAAAAGATAGTACTGTACGCAGATGACGTTTTATTATATCTGGAGGATCCCACTAGTTCATTTCTAGAAGTAATGAGATAGCTTAGATAGCTTTGGCTTGCTGGCAGGCTATAAGTTAAATGTTCAAAAAACACACATTCTAACTTAATTACAACCCTCCTGATTTATTAAAAGGCAAATACCACCTTAAGTGGGACCAAAGTTCAATTAGATATCTAGGAGTCTATTTACCAAAAGATATTTCGGTATTAGCAACAATTAATTATGGACCCCTTATAACTAAAATTAAAGCAGATATATCGAAATGGAGCCTAATCCCCTTTATGAGTTTCAGTTCTAGAATTGAATCTGTAAAAATGAATCTACTGCCTCGGTTACTCTTTCTATTTCAAGCTCTCCCTGTAGAAGTCTCTGCAAAAAATTTTTCGGAATGGGATAAGATGATTTCTAGGTTTATGTGACAGGGGAGAAAACCTAGAATTAGATTAAAAACATTGCAACTTTCAAAAGATAAAGGGGGTATGGCTTTTTCCAAATTTAAAAGATTATTATGCATCTCAGGTTAAACCTCTCATTAATTCCTGTAATCCAGAATATCAAGCCAGATGGAAAGATATTGAATTGTCCCTTGTAAATAGCCCCCCAATTCAGGCACTATTAGGTAATAGAAATTTAGACAAAACTACTGACAAAATATTCAATCCATGGATAAAGTTTCAATTAAGGACATGGAATATGATCACAAAAGAGTATAATTTAGGTGAGGCAATAAAGATACTAAGATGGTGTGCCTATGATACGGAGTTTAAACCAAAAAAATTGGATAATAGATTTAAATTTTGGATTACAAAAGGAATAACTGCATTTTGTAATATAATGGATAAGAATCAGCTACAAAGTTTTCAGTATTTGAAGGAGAAACAATTTGGAGAATTCAGATTTTTATAGATATCTTCAAATGCGCCATTATTTTAATAAGAAGATTATAAGGGGAGATTTAGATATTGTTAATGATGGGGTAGTGAAAATAGTTATAGAAGCCTACAAATCAGAATTAGGTAAAGGTATTTTATCTAGATTATATAAAAGTTTTATGGAAAAGAAATAATATTCTACAGAGTATATAAAAATAAATGGGTGAAAGTAAGTGAAGTTAGAATTTCGAATGAAGAGTGGCTTAAAATTTGTGAATTTCAGTGGAGATGTACTAACTCACATTTATGGAGAGAGTTTTGCTGGAAAAACATTGTTCAATTTTTCATTACTCTGGGTCAGAAGGCGCACCATACTGAGGAAAACGTGTTGGAGACAGTGCGGAAACCAAGGTGATCATTGGCATATATTCTGGAACTGCCCTAAAATAAGGCTTTTCTGGAAGGAATTACATGAGGCCCTGGAAACTATATTTGAAAGGAATGTACCCTTTACATTTGAGGCTTTATATTTTGGTAAACTGGATTTTGATTGGAGGGGAACGGATGAATATTTGTTTGGAGTCCTTATATCAGCAGGGAAGAAAGCTATAACAAGAAAGTGGCTTCTCACAGATCTACCAACAATGAATGAATAATAAAAGAAATATATAAAATGGAAAAAATAACATTTTCACTAAAATTACAAATGAAAAAAAAGGTCAAATATTGGTTTAGATAGGTTCAGTACATTAAACCTTTAAGTTGTAGCGGCAATGCTTGTTAATAAGATGGAATTAAGTGTTGCTGTGCTTTCCCAAATGAGGCCCCATCTCTCTGTTCATCTCTGTGGTGCAGCCACAGAGAAACTATTCATGCAGGCTGATTTAAAGATGTTTTCTTTTGATAAGGGACAGCTCCCAAATGGGGATGCACTTAGCTAAGCCTGGCTATCATGATCAATGGCCATCCATTGGCGCCTATCCATCTAGGGAGTTCCTCCAGGTAAAAACAGGCAACACAGAGAGCCTGTAGTGGACTTTTCGGAAATTCGTAGGAGAATCTCAAAGGAGAATTCCAGGGCAGGACGGCCCAGGAGCAGGAAGGCTCCCAAGGGCAGGACATTCTCGCAGCGCGCCTCCTGACCATCCTGAGACTCGGCACGGACAACCACGGAACGGCCAGTGTGTCCGAGTGCCAGAACTTTCCTCTGTTCTAGAGCGGAGGTTGCCAGAGAGTAACTCGAGGATCCACCCGAGGTTAGCACCAGCAGCAAGCCTCGTGAACAGGTCAGAACTGTGGACAGCTGAATCAGTATTCAGAACTAGTGCTTCATCAGGAACGAACCGGTCTTCTTCCTGACCTGCTGGAACCCACAGTTATCTTTTCTCCTGTGCACAAACCGTGCAAGTTAAAGCCAACACTAACTAGCTGGTCAGTGAGCATCAGCAGCGCACCGTCGCAAGCCGCACAGCACAGCCTGGCACGGAGCCAGAGAGCCTGCAGGAGATCTGAATCCCCAGAGATTGGATGAGTATTCAACTTCAATGCATTACAGCTCGAGAATTCAATTGTTATCCCAACCAGTTGATATCAATTTAATTCCTAAGAGTTATGTACTTGTTTTGAGTATCTAATGTAGAAGTTATAACCAAGTTCATTTATGAAACGGTCTTAATGAATGATATACTGAACGTATGTCCTCTTGATATGTGTAACACTTCGTAACTGACTGAATATATACCTTTTGTATTCTGATAACCCTCTCGATAAGATCTGTTATATTTATATGCATATTCTATGTATTAATAAATGTATCCTTGTGCATTAGTACCTGTGTGTGTGTTGTTTGAGTTATATCGCATGATTGGATTCTAAAGCCATCAAAAGAATCAATTTTCTGATTTACGGCTACAATTAATAATTGTCCCCGTAAATGCCCAAACCCTACAGAACTGGTGCCTTCAGAGAGCACACTACAAAGGTCAGATTTTGTTGAGATACAGAATAACTGAAATTTAATAAGATATGTTTATATAGTCTACTCCTTTTTCATATTCATAAATGTATACATCTTCCTTCTTTTGAATGTATATAGTTTTGTTGAAAAGTTATATCATTGTAAAAAATTAGGGGAACAAACAGGAATTTGTGCCTGCAATGTAAGGCCGAATAATGGATGTTCATATGTAAAATGGTTTTGTTCTCAAAAAATTATTTTTTTTTTTTTACAAGGAAACTGTTGTCCTTAGCTACCAAGAGACACAAAAGGCACGTGTAGTGTAGATGTGAAGAGAGTTCAGAGAAGAGCAACCAGTTTTGTATCCACCCTGAAACGTCTATCAAATTCATTGAAGATAAACATTTGGAAGGAAATGTTATCTTTTAACTGAAAGATTAAAAGATTGTTTTTTTTAGGTCTGACGGCTCTATGAAGATCTCAGTGAAGATTTTACGATCCTGAAAGTGAGAAACGTAATACAAATGATTGTTGTTTGGCAAAATCACCAAGGATACCAGAACTTGAACAGGAAGTGAATAGAGGACAGAAATTAAAGGGGTAAACCCCTTCGACCATCTTGTAACAGACCAATATTGTGGGGGCTAGGTCATCGGGGTGGATTCACCCAATGAATTCCAAAAAAAACTGAAACCTGTATGAAACTTGGCCCAGCCCAGCAAGCTGCATACCTCCGGCACATGGTCCCCCCCATGCGATTTGTAAATGCTGCTGCTGATGGACAGGTCATCCATGCTGGAGATGATGTGGGACACTCCCATGTCACTCAAATGTCTCTGCTTGTGTTTGGTCTGGTGGATGTCACCCTGCACCCATAGGCTGGCCTGTTTCCTGGTAGGGATGAAGGAGAGGGCAGGTTGATCAGGATCATGATTTTACATCTGCTGAAAAAGCATGAGCCCAAATTTATATTAACAGACAGGATTCATGGCTTCACAAGCTGCAGATACAGAGAGAGACTATAATTTGCATTTCAGCCTGAAAGCAGATATATGGCAGGTCATAACTGTTGAGAGATAAAGGATAAGAGCTGACAGAAAAGTGTAACACCTGACTGAGTAGTCTCTAGCATATTTGAGAAAGTCAGTGATATAGGACATTAGATAAATCACTGATGGAGCCACAAAAATTTCCTTTGAGGACTAACTAGGGAAGAAAACAACTTTACGAAACAGGCTGAACTAGGTCATCTACAGATTTGCTCACATAAGTATTGGCACTTTAACTTAACTTACAAGTACATCTCAACTACAAGATGCTAGATTGAGGGGGTTAAATACTTCTGCAAGGCAATGTGTATATACTGTAAAGACATTAAGTAGAATCATATTAAACATTAATGTAAAAGTACAACAGTGTATCTGTCTAAAACCTCTGTAACTTAAATTACTGATCCAATCAAGCTGCTGTTGAAAATTGTACTGAAGAACCACTGCTATAAAAAACAATGTCACTGTGAAAGGGTCTGTGTAAAGGCACTCCTCAGTGAGGGATTCACAGAGTCTCCAGCACAGAATCCAGGCCTATGTACCCTAAGTAGCCTCAATAAATGCAAAAAAGAATTATGCAAACAAATGAATTACTAGCAGAACAAATCTTATTTTTCAAAGCTGAAAGACTCCACGTTTTGTCTCAGATGTTATTTTTCTGATAAGAGAAAGACACAGCTGGCCAGGATCCAAAGCTTTCCAGAGCAGCTTGCTCTTCACTTCCCTTAGCCCTTCAGGGAGGACTTACAACTCACTGCACAATGCCAGGGTCTCATCTCTGCTTGTACGGGCAGAAGCAAAGAAAATCATTGTGACCTTTAAAAGACACTGACTTAGCCATGGCCGTGTACACACCTGGTGAAAAACAAAGCACTTGTTTTGTTGCTGTTGTCCGTATTGAAAGTGTAATTATGAGGCCTGCAGCTGTCCCCAGGCTAAAGGTTTTCTAAGTATTAGTGGCTTAAACAGATTTCAGTGATCAGCAGACATATCAACAAGGTATTCACAGGTTTACCCGCAGGTTACATTTCTCAATGAGAAAAGTGGACCGTTTTATTTCTGTGAAGCAGGCAATGATATCTTTACTGTCCTACCATTAAGAGCTGCTGTTGTGGCACTTCAAATTCTAATATGAAACTAGATGTTTTTTAACAAAGTCTAAATGGAGACTGAAAATAGATGCTTATTTTCCCACAATGACAACAAAAACATGAGCAAGGAAAGTTCAAGTGGAACTCTACAGTGTGGATTCAAAAAGCAGAGTGTAGCAAGGTGTCACTAGTCATGATTCCACAGCATAGACTGTCTGTCTGCTGTCCCTTTAACACATACACTCTGCTCTGGCAGTTTCACTACAGGTAGAGAACTGAGTTCAGGTTATCTATGAAAGTCCACTGCCACTGGAAAGGCATAGCAGCTTGTTAGTATGAACGGCATCAGTCAATTTAAAAATAACACGTGAGGCAGATGTGGCTCACTCAGTCAAGGCCCTGCTAGAAGAGAGGACAGAGCTGCTCAGATCCAGGAAAACACACGTGGGCAACATGCAACTCACTGATATGTGGGTAGGTTGGGCAGGTGGAGCAAGTTTAGTTGTTGCAGGACAGCTGCTGTTGAAAGGTGCTTTGAGTCTGCATTTGTACTTTCAGAAACTTCAATGACACAAATGATAGGCCACATGTGAGAAGTCTTAGTCTCTCTCAGGCTGGTTTGGGACTTTCATGAGTATATGGATTTAACTATGACAATTTAGATGGGGATTAAAAAGTGGGATAACAAGACAACCTAAATTTGTATGTACGTATATATAATTTGCTTTATACTTATTAACAAGAAAAACACGCAGAAAGTTTTCAAAATATAAGGTGAAATGTTTTTGCACTATAGGCTGTGAGTAACTAGTGAGTCTAAGAGTTTTCCAAACCAGGGTAACAGCCTTTGTCAAGTCTCAACTCAACCTACCTTCATGCCAGTAGCCATATCACCCTGCAACTCACAACTGGCAACCTACTTAAACTAAGCAGATGTGAGCCTGCTCAGTACCTGGATAGGAGACCTCCTGGGAAAATCTAAGATTGCTGCTGGAAAATGTTAAAAGGGCCAGTAGTGGGCACTCACCCCATGGTCTGTGTGGGTCCTAATGCATGCTAAATGTGATGGGGATACTATACTATAAAAAGGTGTCGTCCTTTGGATGAGACATAAAACCGAGGTCCTGACTCTCTGTGGTTATTAAAAATCCAAGGGCGCTTGTCGAAAAAAGTGGGGGTGTTACCCCGGGCATCCATTGGCCTCTGTCTATCATGGCCTCCTTATAATCCCCATCTATGAATTAGCTTCCTCACTCTCCTCCCCACTGATAGCTCATGTGTGGTGAACGTACTGGTACACTATGGCTGCTGTCGCATCATCCAGGTGGATGCTGCACATTGGTGGTGGTGGAGGGGATCCCCATTACCTGTAAAGCGCTTTGAGTGGAGTGTCCAGAATAGCACTATATAAGTGTAAGCAATTATTATTATTCAGCGTACAGAACCAAAGCGTGAACACTCACTCTTCTAGGAAGTGCTGCTGGGGCCCGATGATGGAGCCGGGCCGGCAGATCCTGATCCAGGCAATGGCTTCAGAGGCAGTGAACCTGTAGTGCTTCATCAGGTAACAGCCAATCAAGGTCCCAGTCCTGCCCAGGCCAGCTGCTCACGACAGCAATCAATCAATCAATTAATCAATCAGGTCAGTCTGCCCTGATATTCTCTCTTGGATTCCAGTCAGCCTGAGATTCAGAAAGAGCATAATTCCATCTATGGTAATGCTCTTTTGGACTCCCTATAGCTTGAACCTCCCTGTGTCTGCCTGGCTCTTAACCCAGATGGATAATTTGACTGTGGAGCCTGGATATAGTCTTTTGGTGTAGTCCAAGCTTCGGTGCCACCCTGGCTGGGGGTGGTACCACATCTGTCTGTGTGCGTGACTGCTTGGCTTACTCTGGCTGGTGACCAGGCTTCCTGCCCGGCTTGGTCTGCTCTGGAACTCGGTGGGCTGGGTAGTCATGTGTGCGGGTGGGTGTGGTGCCACCGCTAGCTGGGACGCCCGACTTTCCTGCGCACATCAATTGGGTTCTTTCTCATTCCTCATCTGTGCTCTGAGTTCCGCCTCAGTAACACATTATAATATTTATACATCGAATTATTAAACCTCTGTGTAAAACAACTGAATTACACTGTAATTATGAGATATGAATCTTAGCTCTGACAATTTGCCACACTACAAAGAACTGTCTATAGGAAGAATTCTCAATTCTTTACTTAAAATTTGCTATTAAAAAACATCTTATAAGGGTTGAACATATGCACATACCCATTGGATTTGATTTAATACATACAACACTGCCCCCTAGTGAAAAGTAACCCCATTTATAGTCATTTCTAAATTTTAAGGCTCTCATATAAATATTATACATATATTTGTTTTTATTCTTATATCCTTACATCATTGTATTAAATATATTATACATTTTTTATTCATATTTACATAAGAACATTTTTACTTTACATTACTTTATTATGTTAAGTATAAGTAATCTCTGTTCAATGGCTGGGATATTATACCAGTTCTTACAGTCATTTGTTGTCAGGTACTACTATAACTCTATTCTCATCTTACAGGGTCAAAGTGGGTTAAACCAAAAGGGAGAGATGTGATGAATATCTTCAATTTAAGTTTGAACCCAAGCTGCCAAGTGGCAGGTCATCGGTCACATTAAGAAATTGTGTAGTACTGATTCAACAAAGTCAATTCAGGATTTTGGCATTAATGCTTATGCTTCTGTGATGTCACCTTCAATACATGTCTAAATTTACACAGCTCGAGTTAGAATTGGCTAACATACTGCAACGCTACAGCAACTCACTCTACTCTCGGAATATAAATCTCAGGACTTCAAAGACTACCTTAAAATGTTTAAAGGCTTAAACCCTTTGTTCGGCTGAAACCAGAGAATGTATCAGCAGCTCTATGTCCTCGATAAATGTGCAAACAGGCTTTGGAGGACATTTGCTAAATCTTCTTTTCTACCTTTACAGTGCACAGCGATGGCGCCCTCTGTGCTCTCGCAGATGTGCAGGAACCGGCGCACAATGGCATCGCCTGGTGTGCTCCCGTCCACAAAGAACAGGTCATAGTGGTCGAAGCCAGCGTCCGTGAAGCGCTTGGCATCATAGATCTTCTTGTTGAGGCGAATGATGGTGCTGACATTGTGCTTGCGGAAGTAGGGGAAGTAGGCTTCTGGGGCGTGAAGAGGGTATCCTGCAGAGGGAGGCAGAAAAACAAGTCTTACTTGGCCAACAAGTCTTACTTTACTTTTCTGGTTTACTTAACCAGAAAAGTATAAGTGTACTACTGTATATCAGGCGCACTGTTGCTTAGGTCCCAACAACAACCATCCTGGTTCGTAAATGGAGACATTTCGCCATCTGCTGTCAAAGGACAAGCACAGCATTTGATAACTGGAATCACAAAATTACACTTTGAAAGTTAAAAGTAGAATATAATATGACACGAAATATGACAGACCAGGGGATTAAAGCACGGTGTAAAAATACACCTAGGAACAACCCTTTAAGGTAATTTAGGATCACTTACAGGACGTCTTTAAAAGCTTTTGGCTCCAAACCAAAAGCCGCTCAACTTTCCTTAAAAATAACACAATTTAGCTAAAACTTATCAAGATAAAAAGATACTGTGAATTATTTTGCTTTCACTTTCACAGCCTTCAGCAGTTAATTTTTATCTGCAGGTTCTCAAACATTATTGACTGTTCCTCCCGGTGATGCTGTCTTCAGTATTAATCAACTGCTTCAGCTCAAAGACTTCAATCAAGGGGGTATTACAAAAAGCTTACAACAGTAATACCCTTACTATCAATTTACTTTGAAAAGTCTTAAAGAGAACACCTTGTTGGTGGAAAAAAACAACACTGGACACTATATGAAACAACTGACCAATAATTAACTGAAATACCTAAAACTGGGCAGAAACTGATATACCTAAAACTATGATCTATCTAAGATTTTCCTTCTTGTGTATGAAATACAAACAAGACTGTCCCAGCAGGTCTTTTGTAGTCCTAAAACACTGGGTGTAGCTGAAAACATCTGAACCTGTCACAGTGGTGTAATGCAAAGACCTCAAAGGGAAACAGGAACACAAATCCTGTCTTACCATTCTCAATTTTACTTTTAGGATGCGGTCCACTGAAAGCCAAGAACTTTCCTGGAACAATCCAGTTAAAATCTCCATTTTCTACTCGCTGCAGAGAGAGAAAGGAAATATTTTAAATTCATGTACAAAAAGTTACAGTACATACAGGAGCAGGAAATTTGACTCATTTGACTGGTATTATCTTGAAGATCCAAGAATTCAGTTTAACTGTCTTTCAAAGGATCCTGCAACTAGTACACCTTCAGGATGACATTTTTTTCAGATACATTTTTCCAGCTCAAAATAAATCCTGCTATTAGAGAATAAGTTAAAGAATAGAATTTCTTTGGCACACCTAGGATTCTCTAGAGCAGTGGTTCTCAACCTCTGGCCCGACATGAAAGTGAGGCCCGCAAAGTCCGACCCTTTTTTAATAAATTAGATGTGTTTGCACTCGATTCCTTCGATAAAATAATAACAAAAAATAAAAAATAGTAAAAGTTGCAGCCCCACTAAGAGTGTTTTCTAGTCACGTAAAACACTTTCTGAATAGATTCGCTGGTGATCAGATGAAATTTCATTAATCTTTAATTTAATTAATGTGCTGCACGTAGGATATAACGTGCGTCACTAGAACACACTTTCGTATTGCCTTCACCGTCGCATGTCATACGTCTGAATACAAAGACTAGCCCACTCACGGCAGGGTTGCCTAGCCTAGTAGCCTGCCAATACATATAAAAAAAAGAAAGAAAAATGGATTGTGGTAGGTTTGCTGTAAGGGGTGAAAAAAGACATGGGCCAGAGGAAGAAAATGTAAGCGAAACAAATACAGATACTGATACATGTGCAAACAGAAAAAAGAGTCTGAGCATCAGTGATGAGGGCAGGAAAGTACTGGAAGAATGGAGGAGCAAATTTGCCATGATTGATAGAGATGGGCAGCCTTTCTTCTTGCTTTGTAGTAAAAGTATTGGCGTTTGCAAAATGTCCAGTGTAAAAAGACATTTTGATACTACTCACAAGAATTTTACAACCAATACCCACCTGATTCAAGTGACAGGTCTCTTAAGATAAGTAATCTCGAAAAAATGCTGAAGTACACAAGGTTTCTTGAGAAACAGGACGTTTCGAATGGAAGTCCTTCATCGGCTGTGCAACTTCAGAAGCACTTTGGTTATACATATATATACATACACACACATGGTTAATAGCGATTATAAAATTCTATATTACTATTATAATATTATATATATATTATAAAATAATATTATAGTAGCTTTTACGCATATTATATAATAGTAGCTATTATAATACAGTAATCATTAATTCGTGCGGCCCGCAAGATTTGCTTTTATCCATGGTTTTTATTATTATTGGGTTTTAGCCCAGTTGATAAATAGATTGAGAACCACTGCTCTAGAGTAATGTGCTTTTAATCTTCTTCAATGATTTTGGACTTTTTAAAATATTAAAATTGACAATGACTACTTGTATTTCTGAAGGAAAAAACACTACATACTGCTGAATACATACTTCAGGTTGAGTTTTTTAAACTGATAACAACAAATATCTTTCCACAGTGGAGACAACCTGAAGCATACAGGACAGCCACAAAAACCATTTAGTTTTTAATCATTCACTAAAAGTGAAAAGAGTTAGCATAACAGATGACCAGTGCATGAAAGATGAGTAGGAAATTGTGCATACACACAACAGAACAGGAACCCTAAACTTCATGACAAGCCTAAGACACAAAGGACTTGTGTGAGAAAAGCACAGGAACATGTCAGTTGGGCTGCAATTGAGCCTGGGTAACTTAATCCTTTTTAAATAAAGTCAAGAGGAAGAACTCAAACACAGCTTTTGCCTTTATACCCAGGCTGATGATCAAGACACTTTAAAATAGTGACACTGGTAATCCTTTTGGATTAGTCTGGTAATTCAGACTACTATTAATTGCTCAAATCAAAAAGGTCAAATGAAAAAAGGTCACATTTCGTCTGGCATTCTATCAACAAACCATTTTCACAGGACATTATGTTTGATTATTAGGTTCCAAATCCGTAGTAAATTACTATCTAACAGCTGTGGTGACTACATTGTTTAACAATAGACACATATTCTGCCATATACTGGGTCCAAATGCTCATAATAAACCTGCTCTCAGTCCAAAAATTCAAGCAAAACAAAATGGAAGCAGTTTACAGTGTTGGAGGTTATGTGGAGAACAAGTAGCAACTCATTCACACATATTCTGGTCATGCCAAAAACGCAACAATATTGGAAATTCATACATTCATATCATTTGAATTCTCTGTTATGTATCTCGGTAATTTTACTTTTCATTACATGGAACTAAAGGACAGATATATACTAGGAATTCTATCACAAGAAAATGGTTTACTAAAGAACTCCCAACACCGGAACAGTGGATCAATGTTGTGAAGGTCATAGAACGGAAAAGATGATCTTTTCTCTGAGGTTACAAGCAGAAAGGTTTGACAAATACTGGCAAATACAGAAAGGTTTGACAAATACTGGTTTGACAAATACTGGCAAGCCTGGATTGGGTTTGTGGCCTGATTTTGTTCTGTGAAAGAGGATGAAACAGTATTTTGTTGTGTTTTTGCTAAATATTTTTCTAGACCCTCGCACCCATGTAACTTAATGTAACTAGTTAATTATATAAAATTATAATTATATAAAAAATGATCAAAAATGAAAGATAAAAGCTATAAATTAATTTACTTCATACTGTATTTGTAAATCCTTTCATCGTTAAATAAAAAGTTTAAAAAAGAAACAAAAATATGAAGAACACTGTAAATCAGGCTTGTGTAGAAGATTTAGCGTAGCCAATACAGAGGAAATGTTATCAATACAGGGTAAGTAATGCAATATATAAATGGGAACATGCAAAAAGCCATGCCAAACTCTGGCTTATGTCAAGAAACTGCTGGCATCAACAGGCATCAACAAGCAAAAGGGTTTGTATCATTCATAGGCTGACATTATTGGGACCTCTAACCAATGACATCAATTTAAGGTGTATTAAAATGGCATTAAATGCTGCCAACAAATGCACAGCCCAGAACTGGAAAAACAGCATTTAAGATAAGAGTTGGATTTCTGATTTGAAACGTATTTGAAAAAATCTGGGGGAAATTTGTTATTTTCATGTCAACCATTCCTTCTGTGATCAATTCAAGTAATTGATTGCTACTATATATTGAACATGTTTTATCACAGATAAAAGGGCTACAACCTGGATGTTAAAATATATATTGTATATCTTGTAACATACTTACTTAATCTTGTAATTATTTCATTTTATTGTTTTTTTCTTTCTTCCAAAAGAAGGAACTTTACTAAATGTCTGATTATTAATTATTTTGGACTGAGAATGGGAGGAATGAGTGCTGTATGTTTAGAGGTACAATAACTTATCATCTTATTGTTATATGCATGCAAGATCTTTACCTTAATAAAAACAAAACACACATTGTTCAGAAAAAAATAAGGTCCTCTGATTAATTAGCTACTAACTACCAAACTGAAGAAATAAGCTGCATGTTCTCCTTTTGTTTGGAATCTTTCTTAAGTTCTTATTAAGGGGTGTATTTGATACCATCCTCCTTATTCCTGACTCTTCATCCCCTTATGACTTTGAAAGATGAAAGCAAAAATAGCAAATAGCAAATAAAATATTCTGTTATTAATAAGGCAATGATACAATTAATCTCAATAATGTTTTCCCTGAAAAACACAGGACCCAGTCTTTGGATTGTACCACACAGTTTTATAGTGACAGGCAGAAAGTCTGACGAAAGGGCAGCAATATCAGAGACATGTCTTTGGAGATGGTATCCTGCCTCCTGACAGAGCATCAGAAAAATTGCTCAGACACAACAGAAAATACCAGTCCTTCTTTGGCTGGGTAGTCATTGTTCAAACAATTAAAAAAAATAAAAAAAATTGTCATAAATTGTCTTAGGCCTTAACACTTCTGAGCCTTTCATCAGTTTTACTTAGCATTTTTCCCAGTAATTTTAGCATTATTTTAAGGAGCAGGTGTGCATCTCATTAAAGGGAGCAGCATCTCTTTTGTGCCTACTTTTATTTCCTAAAAACCTCTATGAGGCAAAAATCAAAGCCTTATACCTTGAGCAAACACTTTAATTAGATGAACATCTAATGTGCTCCCCTCAGTCTGACAGGACCATACAGACAATATAATTACCATACCTCAAAGTACACAGTAATCACTCCTGCTCTGAGAGCAGGAGGAGGGAATAGAAGAACAAACTCACTTCGTAGTGTTCGTACTCATCCACGTCGAAAGACTCAAAGTCAAAGAAGCCATGTTGCAGGGCCTGAAAGACAGGTTAAGTACAACACAGGTTAAGTTAAGTACAAGCTATTCTTAGGTCACTCAAGGTAACACCTCAAGATGTAACAAGAAGGCTTATAATTAAAAAACAAGTAAAGCCAGTGTTACAAGCTCAAGGACAAAATCTGGTGCATAGCTTAGACACTTATTCATACAATAGAAATGAAATGTACAAGACCTGTAAAAGCAAAAATAAAATACATTCCACGAAAGTATTGTTGTGGAATGTATTGCTGTCTGACGTGAAGCTCTGCTCAGTTACATGATCTTTCATGAACTTACAAACACTTTTCATTTCAAAACACCGTTGTGGTTAAGTACTTTCACAACATTTTCTTGTTGATGTGAAGACCATACCGGGAAAACAGTAAAAGGTCTATTAACACAAAGTAAATTTAAATATATGTAAAGAGTTAAACGTCTGAACATAAATGCCAACAGCAGATCCTAAATTGTCAGCCTAAAATAATTAACAAATATCACAGATTTTAACAGGCAAAATTATTTTGTTGCACGTTTTTTATTTTAGCAATCATGAAAGCAGGGCTTGATCGGTGAACACACTATTGCTACTTTAGAGCTAGTGATTAAGAAAGTGAATGAATGTGTCTGACAAGCCTCCATCTCAGGACGACCTCTCCAGTCAGATAAGCACTGAACTACACAATCTAAACACATGAAATCTGAACGCACAGATCCTCTGGCATAGACATAAAGCTTGCAGCACATCACACCTCCCCATGTGTCCTTCAGTGACTTCATTGTGCACCCCTGTGACTGCAGTGGGACAGCAGGAGCTGCTCAACACTGCAGATGATCTGATGTATGGGAGGCTTGAAATTCAAGATCTCCTTGTTTTAATAAAATGGTCTGAAACAATGTGGGGGATATTATCACTATCGGTAGCTATAATAAAAAATGTCCACACAGATACCGCCAATAACCTCAGCAAAAAAAAAGAACTGGCCACACTGTCTAGTAGGGACATACTGAATCTCTAGACTGCCTGTGCAGCCCAGGAGTCTCCTGTGATGACAGCTGGTTCTGAGGGCCCTCAGCATCAGCTGTGCACTCTTAGATATTGGTTATGTAACATACTCTAGCTTAACCCTTTTCCTGTGCTAAGAATTTCAGGCCCAATGAATCCAGCCAAAGACAGGACTGAACAACCCAGGTCCTGGAGAATGGGTTTTCAGACCAATTCAGTTTAATGAGTGAAACCAGCTGGATACCAATAAAACCAATTTAACAAGTTCTCCCAACTCTTCTGGTGCCATTAATCTCAAAATAAACTCCTTATAAACTCCTCTTCCCAATCTTAAATCCACCCAATTTGAGAGAAGCCTCAATTAACTCTCACTAAAGAAGCATACAAAATCTGTTGTGCAACACTACAGGCTGCTATACAGCTGATCTTTCAACCCAGTTCCTGTTGGTTTGCACACAGAAAATAAGATGAACTACAGACAGGAAAAGTGTTGCTTTTCACTAAGAGATCTGTGTGTGTCCTACATATTTACACCAGCTGCTTTCCAAATACAGTTCTGTTTTTTTTTATTGGACTTATTTCAAGGAATCTTCATGAAAAGCCTAGGCTCTGTCCTTTGAATAATGTGCGCTGGGCAAAACATACTGTGCCTATGTGAATTTACCACATTTATAAAGACTTACATCTACTAAGGATTATTTCTTCCAAATGACAATAGAAAGCTAATCTAAGTGGGATTTGTAAAGAATAAACCAGTGACACAGTGCTGGTATCCAGGGAATACTCTGTGGTCATGATACCAGTACCACATTCCTGATGAGCAGCAGAGAGACTAAGAGCAAGGACAGCTGGCAGTACAGGTACAGCACCGTGCCCAAGAGTGGAACACAAAGGATGATGTGAGGGGGGCTCTCAGAGTAAGGGTGTATAAATGTGTATAAATGGGTGTATAATGGGTACTGACATTACACAAGTGGTCAGGGGATTTGAAAAAAAATCCCCAAATTACATGATTGTTGAATGAGAAATTGTTGATACTTTTTTACACCACCACTGGCTATATTTCACAAGAAGATGCAAAATATTCTTGCTTTAAGGGTCGAAGAGTATTGCCACCTTCTTACCTCTCTGAGGTATACTAAAGTTATGTCTCAAACTGAAAATGGTTCTCAGCAGACACTGACACTTTGGTGCTAGCTACATTAACTATGAATTACTCTTGGCAGTGACATTATCTTCCATAAAGGAACTAAGAGACTGAGTTTGATCAGGCTTATACTAATTTAAGTCAATAAGTAATAGTGAATTCATTATATACAAAACACACAGGGAACACATAATATAGTTCCCTTCCACACCTTTCCCTATCACTTCGCAAGGCTATGGGCATGAGAATAAAACAATGTGGGTTGGTCTTTCAGCCACTCCTGTTGGTCTGTTGGACCTCCTAATCGTCCCAGGAAGAGCTTTCTATATGGAGTCAAACGGTAAGACTGAATCCCTGGTCATCGTATACTAAGGAGCACTGTTGCAAATGGTAATTCAGCCTTAACAACAAGGCCATGATGAATAGTGGGGAGTACCAAAGGGGAAACTGACTCTAGAACATAGTTAAGCGGAAGAGCTTCTATTTTTCTTAGGAATTTGTGTGTACTTTCTAAAGCTGTAAAAGCTGCAGAGAAAGGCAGGGTAAACTGGGTAAACTGTGGATTAATGTGAGGAAGAATATGCAGATCACCTGCAATTTGACCTTTTTTTGTGTCCATCCACAAAGAGATCACAAAAGGAGATTGACATGGATTTAAACAGGTTACATATTTATAGAGGTTTAGCAGCACTGCAAGCAAACCTAATTCCTTCTTTTTGCTACCATTTAGCAAAACTATTAAAATTGTCAAGTAAGTAAAAATAATGCTGATGATGAAACATATCTTACTGAAGAATAAGCAAAATAAACGTTTTACTAATTGTAGACATAGGATCTTGGAGATCATTGCGATTTGCTGATAGGACTACAGTCACTAACCACAGAACTGTAAATCAATTTTGAATTTAAAAACACATACACCATTTACAAATTACCCTAAGCCTTCTCTTAAATAATTTCCAATGCAAATAGGTTTAATGGTATGTCCGATGAATTTCAGTGTTGCCAAAGCAGATATAATAAACATTTATAGTACAAACATTTATTGGACATTTCCATAAAAAATATAAAACATTATGTTTTATATTTCTAATGGCATAGAAAGCCCTGCATGCCTTCTCCTTCAGTGTCTTCACTGCCAGGTCAAAACTCTCAGATGAACCGATTGTCATTCTGAGGTATGTATAGCTGATTGTGTCTGCCAGTGTGTTGTTCAGGGTGAAATGGTACTGGTTTCCCTGAGATCTGTTTTTTTTTATGGAAAATCATAACTGTTCTCTTGGTCATCAGACATGTCATCAGTGTAGAGAAGAAACTATCTATTTTTTGTACTGTGAGGCCAGGCATTGCAGACCTTTCTTTCACATATCTGCTAGATATTGAACAGTGTTGACCTCAGCCTGCAGCCTTGTATCACCTCATGACCTTGAGTGAAAGATCCTGTTACTGATTTTCACTGCGCACTTGTTCTCTGAATACATTGACTCAACTACATCATAGACTTTTCCTCGTACACCACTTTGAATAAGTTTGTAAAACAGAACTTTATGCCAAATTGAATCAAATACTTTTTGGAAAAGCAGGCAATTACTTTTCCATTGTTTTTTTGGTGGACATTTTGGCTTTGGTTATAAGTGTGTGTTGGGTGTAAATGTGATCAGATTGTGGCAGTTTGGTAGGAAGCCAATCTCAGTCTGCCTCCACTTTTATAGATGATGGCCTCGGGGAAACACCTAGCTCTCAGCAGAAAACAGCCAAGAAAAATAATACAAGTTAACCCCCTCCCCCCAAATAATTATACTTTCAGAAAGCCACATAAACCAATTTTGTCCTCCTAGACAAACTTAGATGGGACCAACTCACTTATGAACACCCCGACTCACTTACTCTGCTCAAGGTCAACTGTTCAAATGTGCCATAACTCAGGAACTCAATGTGGGATGGCATTGCCTCTAGCAGGAAACTGGGTTTTCAAGTTTTTACTCTTTCAGATCTTTGCCAAAACTGGAAGCTTTCTCTTTCTCCTGTACCAGCAGCACACTGCACAGCATAATCATCAGGGATCAACCTACCTGGGAGTGGTTTTGGTACGCAGTACTCGGAGCTCATCTTCCCCCTTTTTTACTAATAGCTTTGGACTCACCTGGTACTAAAAGGTGGTGGGTCAGTCTCACCAGTTTCATAAACAATTTCTAGACATGTGTGAACATCTCCATATAAAAGTTAAAGGGTGTTACAATGTTTGAGCCCTTTAAACCTCATAATGCATTCTTGCACTTCGAATAATTAAGAGTTTGTTTTTGCATTTTTGGAAATGTGAGGCAGACTTCAGAGGTGTGTAAAAAGTCTCAGTGTTCACTTTCTCCATATCTAAATATGTGCCATCTTGTTCACCCACAATGGAGTGTACTTCAGTGGCAGACGAGGATCAAAATTAATGGAACTTCACAGAAGTCTGGATCAATAACAGACACAGATAAATTATGACTGGAATGCTACTGTATGTTTATTACATTAAATAGCAAACAAAAATAATGTTTAGTCTCCCTTACCTTTCTGATGCCTTGTAAACAATCGAGAATTGTCAGGTTGTATGTGCAATTTCCAAATGAAGCATCCCTGAAAATTGAAAGAAAACTCCATTATTCAGACTGAATATTTCTTAGGACTGACAGCTGCAGGCATGGACTTCAGCCTGGGGAACCATTTCAACTGATTGCAAACCCACCTGACTCCACAGTTGGGATTAATAGCCTCTGTGAAGATGTATTGTTTCCCCAGGGCCTCACACCATGCTGTTCTTGTGTATTTACTTTTCTTTGCCAGTGATTCATACAGACCACAAGAAGTTTTACCATGCTGGACGTTTGCATACCAAGCTTTCAGCAGAGGTTTTATTTTCTTTTACCACCGATTTACCATTTAAAGTAATATATACTGGACAAAATTCAAGTGATATTCAATAAAATATATATTCATGCATTACTTGGGCACTGAACAGTTGTTACATGCAGCATCACACCTAACGCCTTCCCTGGAGAGATGCGGTTGCCACATCACTGTCGAGTGCTGGGTGCTGGGCTCACGGACTATCAACAGTCCTAGACAATATCGAACCATGCATGGGTCTTCTCTTTGGTTCTCACTGGCTCCAAAGCAGCTGTTCAAACAACACATCCTCACTTTCTTTTGGAATTAAAAAATGAAGGCATGAGCACTGTCATTATCCCGTGTAGCACAAAGAAAACACCATGATGTTTATGTGTCAGCAGGTTTCACCTTGGTGAAAGGTTTAATCACAGATTAAGAGATCATCTGGAAATGACCATGGTATTTATAAAAGAACAGAAGGTGGCCCTTACCTCAATCTAATTTCTCAGCAGTCAAAAGATAAGTAATATTCCTTGGAATTAAAAATGGAGTGGGACTTGAATTTCAATATGTGCCAAAAGAACAAAAGCTTCCTGGTACTTAAGTTAACTTCTCATCTGTGAGAATTCTTTCCTGACCATCATATTCAAGAACATGAATCCACACTTCAGAGAAGAATGCTACTTATATTTACTGCCTACATTTGAATAAACTGGCACATTTCTAACTAAATTAACTTAATGTTTGTCAGAAAGACAGTGAACATTTAGAAATTCCTACTTCTTCACACTCTACAGGATATGATCACTTAAGTTCATTCAAGTGTAGTTATTGCCTTGTCTTTTGGAGAGCTACAGTTATAGCTTCAAGAATTACATTTCCCTTACACAATATGCAGTAGGACAGACAGCTCAGGAACATCTTACAATCCACTCTAAAAATCACAGGACTTTCTCATCTTTTTTAGATGTTTTAGGCAGCTTGTGCCAATGTATCAAGGAGTACTTTTCTAACCCCAGAAAAAGTTCCCTAACAGGACATTAGTGGAGTGAGGTCTGCAGTCCTGGAGATAAAGGTCCATCTGTGGGACTTCTTAGGAAAGGAGTTTGGGTGCTATAAGCTTAGGATGTTCGACACAAAAAAAAACAACAAGATTCCAGGCTGAATGTGGACCATTTGGAGGCAGTCTCTAATAAACCTCTTCCAATGATCATCCAAGAAAGGGTTAACAGAAAGGACACATTCCAGCTGTAAATCCAGCTCTTCTTGGTCACGAGACAGGCAAGCTGACAGGATGTCGGCAATTGTACAGCCTGAACTATCATTGCATTACTTCCAAAGAATACAAGTATCTGAAATAAAACTGGAATCAATGTTTTCCCTATATAGAGTTGTGAGAAAAAGTTTATGAACCCTTTGGAATTATCTGGATTTCTGCATGAATGGCTTCTAAAATGTAATCTGATCTTCATCTAAGTCATTATAATAAATTTAGACATTGTCATTTTACATTGTCATATCTTTATTGAACAAATGGTTTGAACAATCAAGGTCACTGATAGAAAAAGTATGTGAACCCCTAGGATAATGACATCTTGAAAAGAGGGTATTGGAGTCAGGTGTTCCAATGAACACTGAAAGGTATGGGTTTAACCTGCCCTGCAGTATATATTTAAAACAAAATCACACAATTTTGGTTACCTGCTCTTCACAACAGAATTCTGTTGAAGTGCAATATGGCCTGATCAAAAGAGATCTCGGTGGATCTCGGAAGAAGAGTTGTTGAAGCTCATAAGATTGGAAAGGGTTACAGAAGGATTTATATATACTTGGGCCTCCATCGGTCCACAGTCAGGCAGATAGATTAAAAATGGAAGAAATTCAGCACTGTTGCTACTCTCCCTAGGAGTGTGTGTCCTACAAAGATCAGTGCAAGGTCACACCGTACAATCCTTAAACAAGTGACAAAGAATCCTAGGGTGACAGCTAAGGATCAGCAGGCATCTCTTGCACTTGATAACGTCTGTGTTCATGAGTCTGCCATAAGAAAAACACTGAACAAGAATGGTGTTCATGGGAGGTTACCACGGCGGAAACAACTGCTTTAAAAAAAAAACTGCTGCCCGTCTTAAGTTTTCTGAAGACCACCTGGATGCTCCATACCACTACTTGAACAATGTTTTGTGGACAGATGAGACAAAAGTTGGACTATTGGGTAAATGTACACAGCGTTATGTTTGGGAAAAGTATATTTGGAGGGAGTATAATGGTGTGGGGCTGCTTTGCTGCCTCAGGGCCTAGACGGCTTGCAATCCTTGAGGGACCAATGCATTCCAAGTTGTATCGGTAAATTCTACAGCAGAATGTCAGGGCATCTGTGATCTAAAACTCAAAACAAGTTGGGTAATGCAACATGACAATGGTCCAAAACACAGGGGTAAATCAACAACAGAGTGGCTCAAACAGAAGAAATTCCATATTTTAGAACAAGTCAGAGTCCTGACCTCAATCCCATTGAAATGCTGAGGTGTGATCTGAAACAGGCCGTTCAAGCAAGGCATCCCAAAAATATACATGAACTGAAACAGTTTTGTATAGAGGAATGGGCCAAAATACCTCGCAGGTCTGATCAGCAGCTACAGAAAGCATTTGGTTGAGGTTATTGCCAATAAAGGAGTTTCCACTAGTTACTAAATATAAGGAAGCACATCCTTTTTCCATCAATGACCTTGATTGTTTAAACCATATGTTCAATAAAGATATGGCAATGTAAAATGTTGTGTTTGTTGTTTGTTAAATGAGACTCTTTATTTATTATTATGACTTAGATGAAGATCAGATCACATTTTAGGAGCCATTCATGCAGAAATCCATATAATTCCTAAGGGTTCACAAATGTTTTCTCACAACTGTATGCACATTATGTTTCTTGAGTTGTTGATCTGGTTACATTATTGTAGTGTGTTATGTCTTATCATTATTCATATAATCTTAGAAAATAGGACAGAGTTCAAAAGATACTCACTGTGACACCTAATCTTGCTCTAGGTTATTACCACATGAATATTTGCTGCTTTCAGGATTTAGCACCTCCCCCCTGACCTCCCTCTGTAGCTCAGGCTGTGTGCAGTGCTTTCAGCACTTGTCAGGAGATCCCCGTCCCTCTCCTGTACTGCTGTGGACTCCACACCCCTCCCTCAGTGCCCTTAAGCGTTGTGGCATCATTCATTGCCCTTTTTCCAGGGCATTAGAACCCATAACTACAGAGATTTGAGGATATTTATTAAACCCTTCTTTCTAAAAAATACAGAGGTACTAAATTTTGATTACCCAACCTTTAATTCCAGCAGTAGAAAAAGAAAAAAAATAACATCACAGTACTGGTTTAAGTGCACTTATTTAACACTCTGTAGAGAAAAATCAGGGCTCAATACAGAATTCAGTTTTAATTAAATACATTTGACCCCGCCCTGGTCACTCTGGAGCACGTTTAAGTCAGAACTGCATGTACTGTGGAAAAAAAAGAAATACTAATACCATAAACAAAAAAAAAATGTGCCTAATAATTATAATTAGTTTATTTAGTACTTTAAACATTTAATAGAGAGACCCACTCTGTCCACCTGGGTGATACCTTTCAGGGATCGGGTAGAGAAGTGAGTAATTACCAGCTGAAAGGGAACATTTGATACATCTCTGGTTTTACAACATTATCTTAATGGCCAAGTAGTCAGGATATCAAATCTCATCCAAAGAACAGTACAGTGTCCACATCCACTGTATACTGACTCTGGTTTGGAAGTCCTGTTCCAGTGGGAAGAGTGTCACCTAGAAGTCCACCAACCACAAACTGGGTTTTCCGCTTAGATCTCCCATCCCTATATATAACTGGTATTATGACGCAGCTGACACTGACAGAAAGGGTCTCTTCAGTCCACTAAAGAGCATCACACTGCTGAAGACCTGCTTGAAACAACAGGCTTGTGAAATCTGTTCTGCCATAACTGCAAGGTCTTGACTTGGGCTGAAAATGCTCATCTCTTCCTAATAAAAAAGTGCTTTTAATACACATGGACTTTCTAGAACTTAGAACAGGGGACCGAGTCTGGGAGCGAGCTCTTGTTCACAAGTACCTTAACCATGCACAACCACAAGTCCAGGCTAATGTTCAGTACATATTCACAAGAACACATTTCCATCGCCTTTCTGTTGACTTTGACAATTTCTCTGATGTGAGTCCATGAAGGACCTGCATGACTATTCCTTTAATACACGTACAGTACACGTTTAACGTACAGTACACAGACATACAATATTAAGTTCAAAATTTTAATTACATAATTTCAATTAAATTCTGAACTGAGCTGAAATGAAATAACCAAGCCCATAAAATACAAAATACCTAAAAACGTTTCACTGCAATGCCCCAACAAATATTATATCTTCAGTAAACCCAAGTAAGTGTTTTTGTAGAGCTACACAAAAGGCTTCTCAAAAGAGCATAATTCTTCTTAAAAAAATAAAAAGTGTTTTAGAGAGAGTGGCTACCACCACCCCTCAACTGCTACAATATATGACTACCACCCAATCTCGCCATCCCCGGAGAGAAATACTACTTCATCCACTCAGGGATAATCTTACATACACAACCCACTAATTCAATCCATGTGAAATTGCGCACCCACCAAATTGCACCCATGAGAGAATACATACTGGCCAATTGTTCAATTATATAATTAATAAGATTA